TTCCTTACTTATAAACTCATGATCATTCCTTAAATTAGTCAACGTGGGACTCTCTCCCAACAATCCTGAACGGGACAAACCCACATACTTGTACAGCCCAAACCCACTACTAATAGATATTGTTCGCTTTAGCCTGTTACATATCGATGCACCCTCACAGTTTTAAAACGCGTCTACTAAGGAGAAGTCGATACGGAAGAATACAATGGAAGGATAACAAAGAAAACCACTTTGGTTTTTGTTGATGACTTGAAGTGAAGAATGAGAAAAGAAGTGCTTTTTTGGGTACTTTATGGTAACATAAACATAGCTTTCCCAAACCCTTTCTTCAACACTTTGTATAACTTTGGGAAACCCAATCAAAATTGAATCTTTATCTTTGATGAAGGAATTGTGACTCATCAAAATCTATACTTTATTGGCTGCATAAATGTTATCTTTTACAATCCCTTGGTAGTTACGGCCTTTCACAAACGACGCTGATGATAACAACGAACTCGGGTCTCATTCGACTTAGTGCCTCGTAATATTAAATGACAAACCTATTTTTTTTCTTAGGAATAAGACTGCTACTACATGCATTGCATGACGTTTTTGTGCAAAAAAAAAAAAAAAAAACCTAAAAACTATAACATTTATGTAGAAACTATCTATCGTGACTTCATTCCATAATCTCCGGCAATAACACCGGAGGAATCTACTTTCATGACTGTATCTTAACCTCTATTTTCTTTCTCGAATAGGGTTGAGTGCATAGTTGCAACAACCGAACCTCTCTCAGAGAGAAATGTTATTACTCATAAAAATAAATGAAGAAGAAATTAAGTTTTAAAAAAGACAAACATGATGAACAAAAATATTTAAAGATGGTTAAAGCTGAAATTCTCTAACACAATGAAAACTCTAACAAGTTTCGTAGTCAACCAACCAACTCCCTCACACCATCGTCAGCCAATACGTAAGTCTCATCCACGAGAAAGGAAATGTAGTACTATTAAGGAAATAGCTAACTTATTGTCAACGAGTAGGAATTTGACACAGTGTACTATGGTAGCACTAAAAAATACCCACACGATCGTGGTAGCACTAGTATCACTAGTATTGTGGTAGTACTAGTAAGTACCCACACGATCGTAGTAGCACTAGCATCACTAGTATTGTGGTAGTACTAGTATCGTGATGTATTATGGTAGCACCATTGTCGTAGCACTAGTAAGTAAATTGTGCAAGAAGTAGGTCTAACTATGAAACCTTGTGAAGAATATTGTGCAAGAAGTGGCAAGTGATGCTACAAGTTCATAATCCACGTGTTCCTTGGGCAATCAATTCAAATGTTCAAACACCTTCTAATTATGCCGGTTTAAGAACTACTACGATATCCCATATTGATTGGAGAGGAGAACAACGCATTCTTTTAAGGATGAAGAAACCTCTCCCTGACCAAAGCGTTTTAAAAATTTTAAGGAAAAGTCGAAATGGAAAGCGCAAAAAGGACAATATTGCTAGCGTGGACTTGAGCCGTTACAAATGGTATTAGAGCCAGACACCGAGCAATATGTCAGCGAGAAGGCTGAACTCCAAAGAGGTGAACACAAAGCGATGTGCCAATAAGGATGCTGGACCAGAAGGGGTGGATTGGATTCAGCCTCCAATTTCACCAAAAGCTGTCAGCATCTACTTCAAAGTAAGAAGATTTATTCCCTTGTTGGTTGCAGCTTGGGCCAACCTTAAAGCCCAAACAAAATGAGGGCTTGTATGATGATACGACTTATAAAAGTTAGCGTGCACCGTAAAAAGTGAGTTTCGTCCGTCTCTATAGCTATCGTTAGCAAATGTTGTTCGTTTTAGTCTATTACGTATTACCGTTAACTTTACGATTTTAAAACGCATCTATTAAAGAGAGGTTTCTACATCCTTATAAGGAATGTTTTGTTCCCCTCTCCAACCAATATAAAATCTTAGCTTCCGTTTAGAGTCCTTCAATTTTCGACAGTTTTACGAACACAAACATGAATGTTGTAACTCTTCTAATATTGATTTATTCCTTTGATTATGGTGTTAGATGGTGTGTCTTTATCCAGCTACCCATTAGGCTTACGACTCATACATAAACGTACAATCTTTTCCAAAAAATTATTTAAGAGTGGTTGTGACATGATTGCATCTCGTAATCTGAATTGGGATCACTTATTGTATATTTTGATACTCACCATTTTTCACAAAAAAAAAAAAAAACGAGTAAAGGCGAGGGCATCCTAAGCAGTTGACGATTTAATGTTAATTATATCCAAATTCACGTGGAAGCCTATTTTAATGTTAATTATATTCAAATTGATTAAATTTAGAACTGTTATTCATATCATGCATAGGGTAGCAATCTCAATCTAGTAATGTTTTAAAAGTTGAGTCGTCGTATTATCCTTTAATATGTAACGGTCAAGTCCACAAGTAGTAGATATTGTCCTTTTTGGACTTTTCCTTTCGAGATTCCCCTCAAAGTTTTTAAAACGCATCTGCCACGGGTGATGTTTCCACACCTTTATAAATGGTGTCGTTCTCCTCCCCAACCGATGTGGGATCTTGTAATCCACTCGCTTTTGGGGCCAAGCGTCCTTGCTAGCACTCGTTTATTTTTCTAATTGACGTGGAAACAGCACTAAATCCACCCCCTTTAAGGCCCAACGTCCTTACTGGTACAACGTCTCATGTCTACCTCCTTTGAGGCTCAACTTCCTCACCGACATATCGTCCGGTGTTTGGCTCTAATACCATTTGTAAAGGTCCAAGCCCACCGCTAACAGAAATTGTCATCTTTAAACTTTCACTTTCCGACTTTCCCTAATATTACAAGAGAATAAGCTAGTTGAATAAAATAAGAGTGGATAAGCTTAAGGAAACTAAAATAAATTTTAAAATCTTTACGTCACCATTAGGAAGTCACGTTGAATCTTTTTTCATTTTTTTTTTCCAAAATAACTATATAGCATATAAAAAAAAACGTGTCTATTTTAATTATTTTAATTTTTGTGAATACAACGTTAAAAAGCGTTTGGGGCAATAAATAAAGTTTTTTAGTTTATTTAATTTGTAAAATTAGTAATTTGTGTTTTAGGTGTTGAGTTGTTTAATATGTCCATTATTATTATTATTTGTACGATTTCAAGTGATTTTTAAATTACAACGAATTTTAAATTACTTTTATTGTTTATTATCATAAAGAAATTGAATGATATTTTTATATTAAAAAAAGTTTGGACTAAAATAGCGGATTTTATAGAATTTCAAAATAAATTACTTAGCATCAAATGTCAATGCCTAAAGAAATATTGAAGTATCAATTTAATGAAAATATGGACATTAATATCCATAATAAATTGAGATAGCTAGGTCTTCCAAAAATTTATAAATATACATATATATATATATATATATATATATATATATATATATATATTATATTAATAAATAAATATTTCTACTTTTCTCAAATATATTAAAATATCTATTATTATTATTAGATGAGTACCCCACTTCACTTAAATTATAAAGGCTGAATTAAGTTAGATTGGATTGGTCGACATTTTTTTAGTTGTAATTAATATTAGTGGTACATTTAAAAGATAGAATTACAACCAGCTTTACCCTATTTTTAAGATTATTACGAATATTAAGAATATTTAACGTTTGTAATTAATATTAGTGGTACATTTAAAATAGAGAATTGGGTCGTTGGGGGTACAACTAAGTTGCTCGAGTCACCAACCTAAACTAACCAATCTAGTTCGGGTAAGCTGGTGGACTAAGTCCAATTCATTGGAGAGTAAATTTGGAAGATATTTTTGTGAAGATATTTTTAGAAGGGTCATTAGGGGACATGTCATACCCTAAGTGATAAAGATGGGGATAATCCTTATCATTTTAAGGTTTGTCTCCAAATATGAATGTCACACTAACATAACATGTGGTTGCTTTTTTTCTTATTTTATTTCTCAAATATGTTCTTTTTTTATATCTAACTCACAGAATATCACAAATTATTATTTTTTATTTAAGTTTAAATCCTATTTTGTTTAATCTAATTCTAATTAGAGGTATCCATATGCATCCATAACCCGACCAACTTAGATTACCCAACCAAACTATAAATGTTATGTTCGGTTAGATGTTTTTTTTTTTTGGATTTAGATTGAATTGAATTTTTGAAAAATCAAAAAATTCAAATCCATTTGGAAGTTGACATTTTTATAATCAAGTCAATCCGACCCAACTCAACTCTTATTACCGACATTATGATGTATTTGATTCGTGAATGTTTTATATTTTAGTTCTATAAAATTTTAGTTATTAATGTAATGTTGCAGATAAAATAGAATTTTCTTATATAATTCTTTTAAAAAAATAACTCAACAACCAAATCATTGTACCTGTGTTGGATTGGATTGTGAACTTCACTGAGTTACTCAAGTCACCAACCCAATCAATCCGAAAATTTTAAGTTGGTCCAAAAGATTTTCTCAACCCAACTCAAACATTAAAAGTTAGAATATTAAAAATAACATTCTCCGTTTTTAGATCGAAAAGTTAAATATTCATTTTCTACTCTAAAAGAAAATAATATAATTAACCAAAATAGCTTTTCCAACTCATACAAACTAATTACACCGTGGAATAAAAAAAATGTTGTTTTTAAATAAATTCAAAAATAAAATATTAAAAGGTTTATCTTTAAAAAGTTTGAAACAAAAAGATATTTTTAAAATTTAGAAATAAAAAGGTAATAAATCATGAAGTTCAAAGTCGTGAAATTAAAAAAAAATATAAACATGTATATTTTTTATTAATAAATAAATAAATAAATAATGAATTAATTACCTATTTAAATATGCATAAGGAAAATGGTTTGACCTTTGTCTGTGTGCGTTTGTTTTAAAGAAAAATTATTAAAAAAAAAAGAATCGAAAGACTCAAAAAACCATAGATGAAATTCAACAAAATTTGCTCAAAAAATTGAATCCATTTCATTAATCTGCTCAACAGATCGCATTCAAATCACATACTTACACGAGAACAGAGAGGAAACAGAGAATTTGAAAATTCCAAAGCTCGAAACAGATCGGAAACAGAATCAGAGAAGAACGAAACGAAACGAAAATCCATCATCGCGAATGATTTCTAAACAAAATTCACAGTTCAATCTACAGGAGTGAAGAGAGATTCAACATTCAAGATTAAAGATCCTAATCCAACAGCAAGAATCAATCGAATCTCGAAATCAAACACCAGCAATCGGCGAAACAAAAAGCCTCAAGTAAGTCGCTCAGATTAAAAAAGAACCGAATCGAATCGAAACGAATCTACCTGGAATTAGAAACGCGGAAAATAGAGGCGAAGAGGCGAGAGAAGGCTTGGCGAAAACGAGGATAAACTCTGAGCGTATGAGCGGCGGAGTCACGGAGAAGTTCCTCTAGGGTTTCGACGAACAAATTGAGGCTCCGAATTGGCGGCACATAGAGCGTCAATGGCACTGCGGAGAAAGCGACGGCGAAGAACAGCTGAAGCATTGGAACTTGCTAGGATCCGGAATCCAAAACCGAGAAGAATTTGAGAGAATCAACTGAGGATCGAGAAGATGAAGGATTCGATTAAATATAAGGATTGCGCAAAGAAGGTAAGAGACGAGAGAAGTGTTTATCCAAATGGAAGAGGAGAATTGGAAGGAGAATTTGGTGGAAGGAAACTTATCATTTCAATTATTTTAAAATTTATTATCATTTCTTTATCTACAAGAAAACATTTTTGTGAGTCAAAGGTTTGATTCGTCTCGACTCAATACGTCCATTTAAACTAATAAATTGATTCAAACCAAATCAAAATCTACTAGTGACGGCCCAGTTGTAAGATGATAACATCTATTTAAATTTATTGTTTATTTTAGAGTATACATTTTTTAATAATTATTTTTGTTTATATATCCCGCGCTTATCCATTTCATAATGAGTAGCCTCTCGCAATAGTCGTGCACTGATCTTGCTTGCTCCTTTCCTACGAACACAATTTTATAAAAAAATTACTTCGTTCTTCTCACAATTTTATTTCATTATGGATACTTCCAATGTTCTCTGGTCAAGAGTAGCAGTAATTATCATACTTTTGAGAAGATCTTTATCTTCAATGTTCTTGATATTAGACAAAGGAGTTCTTAACATCTTTTATCTTCGATTCCCACTTCCATTCTAGCGTTGCCAACAATATTGATCGACTCTACGTTTCAATCGATGATTACAAGCCCCAGGGGAAAGAGTTCATAAACGACGAGCACTGGTTCAAATGTCGCTAAAAGATTGTGGTAACTTTTCCTCGAGATCAGCAATCTTTTCAGTGGCTTTGTTTGCAAACTTTGAAGACTGAAGTGTCTTTTTAAGACTCTAGGTACCAAACATGAATCACTCGTTGTTCAAGTTTTAATCTAATGAGTCTCTCTTAATATGTCGTTAGGATCCTTTAAAACGAGGTTAAGCTCTTGAGTTTTTCTTTATTAAGAGACGAATCCTAACTTTCACACATCCATGTCTGGAGCCCTTATTCACGACACTTTTGTTCACAAGTGACTCTAACTAATCATCGTAAAGGTAACTTATAATTAAATTCTATCTTAAACCACTCGTTATCAAGCAAAAATTCAAACAAACCAACAAATAATTTGTGATCGAGACGCTATCTTAAACCACTCGTTATCAAGCAAAAATTCAAACAAACCAACAAATAATTTGTGATCGAGACGTTTTAAAAGCTTACCGACATACTGAACACAAAATTTTATTTAGATAATTATTTTTTTTTTGTACAAATGTATTATTTTTCAGTATCAAATAAATTATTCCAACAGAATTCGTTAGTANAAAAGCCTCAAGTAAGTCGCTCAGATTAAAAAAGAACCGAATCGAATCGAAACGAATCTACCTGGAATTAGAAACGCGGAAAATAGAGGCGAAGAGGCGAGAGAAGGCTTGGCGAAAACGAGGATAAACTCTGAGCGTATGAGCGGCGGAGTCACGGAGAAGTTCCTCTAGGGTTTCGACGAACAAATTGAGGCTCCGAATTGGCGGCACATAGAGCGTCAATGGCACTGCGGAGAAAGCGACGGCGAAGAACAGCTGAAGCATTGGAACTTGCTAGGATCCGGAATCCAAAACCGAGAAGAATTTGAGAGAATCAACTGAGGATCGAGAAGATGAAGGATTCGATTAAATATAAGGATTGCGCAAAGAAGGTAAGAGACGAGAGAAGTGTTTATCCAAATGGAAGAGGAGAATTGGAAGGAGAATTTGGTGGAAGGAAACTTATCATTTCAATTATTTTAAAATTTATTATCATTTCTTTATCTACAAGAAAACATTTTTGTGAGTCAAAGGTTTGATTCGTCTCGACTCAATACGTCCATTTAAACTAATAAATTGATTCAAACCAAATCAAAATCTACTAGTGACGGCCCAGTTGTAAGATGATAACATCTATTTAAATTTATTGTTTATTTTAGAGTATACATTTTTTAATAATTATTTTTGTTTATATATCCCGCGCTTATCCATTTCATAATGAGTAGCCTCTCGCAATAGTCGTGCACTGATCTTGCTTGCTCCTTTCCTACGAACACAATTTTATAAAAAAATTACTTCGTTCTTCTCACAATTTTATTTCATTATGGATACTTCCAATGTTCTCTGGTCAAGAGTAGCAGTAATTATCATACTTTTGAGAAGATCTTTATCTTCAATGTTCTTGATATTAGACAAAGGAGTTCTTAACATCTTTTATCTTCGATTCCCACTTCCATTCTAGCGTTGCCAACAATATTGATCGACTCTACGTTTCAATCGATGATTACAAGCCCCAGGGGAAAGAGTTCATAAACGACGAGCACTGGTTCAAATGTCGCTAAAAGATTGTGGTAACTTTTCCTCGAGATCAGCAATCTTTTCAGTGGCTTTGTTTGCAAACTTTGAAGACTGAAGTGTCTTTTTAAGACTCTAGGTACCAAACATGAATCACTCGTTGTTCAAGTTTTAATCTAATGAGTCTCTCTTAATATGTCGTTAGGATCCTTTAAAACGAGGTTAAGCTCTTGAGTTTTTCTTTATTAAGAGACGAATCCTAACTTTCACACATCCATGTCTGGAGCCCTTATTCACGACACTTTTGTTCACAAGTGACTCTAACTAATCATCGTAAAGGTAACTTATAATTAAATTCTATCTTAAACCACTCGTTATCAAGCAAAAATTCAAACAAACCAACAAATAATTTGTGATCGAGACGTTTTAAAAGCTTACCGACATACTGAACACAAAATTTTATTTAGATAATTATTTTTTTTTTGTACAAATGTATTATTTTTCAGTATCAAATAAATTATTCCAACAGAATTCGTTAGTATTAAATATATATTATAAAAAATAATAATAGTATATTTTAATATCGACCGTTGGTCCAATAAAAACTAATAAAATAAATTAATTTAAAATTTTGAAAGATAACAGCAGCAGTATCGTACGTGCATACGCCGGCTCAAACCCCAAAATCACTTTCCACACGTGCAAATGCCAACACCGTTAAACGCACATGCCAATGAGTCCAATTTCCACGTCAAAAAACCACTTCCAACGCTCGCTCCTCATGCCTTGTCCTTAATTCTATCATGTGAAAAAGAGTATCTCAAATAATAATAATAATAATAATAAATAAATAAATAAATATTTTTTTTTGTAATTTTTGAGATAGGTTGAAAAAATCTTATGTACCAAAAATCTCGAGTTGATTAGCTTGGTGACACGAACCTACCCAGTTGGGTTAAATTGGGTCGAGTTATTATTATTATTTTTTTTTTTTGAAAAAAATCTTATATATGTATAATATATATCACATTAATAACTAAATCTCATACTTTCATAAAACTTAAATATCTAAGATTTACAAGTCACATCACTATTATTTATTTATATAAAAATTAATTATATTATTTATTTATATAAAAATTATATTATATTTTGAGACATTTTATTTTTAAATATTTTAAACAAAAGCTTAGATCAAAAGGTGGATTAGATCTAAAGAAAGATAAATAAATAAGTAATAATAATAATAATAATAATAATTAACAATTAATAAATAAAGAAAAAGAAATAGACAGTTCACTTCACTTTGTATATACTCGTCTTCACTCATCAGATTCTTTCACACCCAAAAACCCCACTCCCTAAAAACCGCTTTTCTCTCTCTCTTCAACCCCACCTGCATTTGGTTCTCTTCTGCAATGGGGTTTGGTTTGTGGTCCTCTCTTGAAGAATGCCATTGAAAGGGGTTTTCAAGGTTCATTTCTTGGTGTTTGTAGACATGGTTTTCATGTTTCATCTCTGTGTTTCTTGTTTTTGATCTGTTTGGTTCCCCGGAAAATGAAGGGAAATGAAGGGAAATTTGTTCTGTTGTTCTTGTTGTGACGTTTTTCTCAGCCGCCAAACAACATTGCTCTGTTTTTCTGTGTTTTTGTTCTGTTTTCTTTGGATCTGTGGGCGTTCATGAACTGACTTACCTTGCATTTTCATTTTCTCTTCAGGGTGTGAGAACGTTTCAGATCTGAAGCTTTTCAAGGTTTTTTGCTTTCTCAGGTGAACTTTCAGACCCCTTTTAACGTTTGGACACTTTGGGATTCTCTTTCTTAAGTTTTTAGTCATTTATAGATAACAGAAGTCTTCTGCCTATGAGGTGTTTGTTTAAATTCCAACGTTGTTTTTGGGTTCTGCAAACGGTAACATTCAGAGATTTTTGTTTTTGGGTGATTTTCTGTTGCCTATTTTTGTGGTAACGACTGGACTATGGCTCTGTTTTCCTATGTATGAGTTTTTTTAGGGCGAGATTTTGAATTTTTGTTGAGTGAAGTTCATTAAAATGGGGTTTGTTTTTGGGGTTTTTTTTAGGTGTGTTTGTGAAATCATTTGAACTGTGAAGATGATGCAAAAGCCTCCACCAGAAGATTTCTTACTGAAAGAGACCAATCCCCACCTTGGTGGGGGGAAGGTCACTGGTGACAAACTAGCAAGCACCTATGACCTCGTTGAGCAAATGTATTACCTCTATGTTCGGGTTGTCAAGGCGAAAGACTTGCCTGCGAAAGACGTCACCGGTAGCTGCGACCCGTATGTGGAGGTTAAGCTTGGAAATTACAAGGGTACGACTCGGCATTTCGAGAAGAAGTCGAATCCTGAATGGAGCCAAGTGTTTGCGTTTTCGAAGGATCGGATTCAGGCTTCGGTGCTTGAGGTGACTGTGAAGGATAAGGATTCTCTTAAGGATGATTTCATTGGGAGAGTTCTTTTTGACTTGAATGAGGTTCCGAGAAGGGTACCACCCGATAGTCCTTTGGCACCACAATGGTACCGGTTGGATGATAAGAAGGGAGAGAGGGCGAAAGGAGAGCTGATGTTGGCTGTTTGGATGGGAACACAAGCGGATGAAGCGTTTCCTGAGGCTTGGAATTCAGATGCTGCAACTGTGAGTGGAGCTGATGGGCTTGCAAATATGCGGTCTAAG